TATACCAGAATATATTTTTTTGCAGTCTGGGAGAAATGCTTGAAAATTTTTAATGGCTTTCAAAGCCCATGTGGCTGCAGCATTTCCTTCAAACAAAATATAAGTTATTATGTCACTCTGTAAAATGTCTGTGATCTCTAGCCCTTAACTACGTTAAAATTAAAGTTACGAAATGTAAACACTTCTGTGGTTTTAGGATTATTTTAAGAGGAACACACAACACTAACATAATCACTGGGACACTAGGATTTTCATCTCTTCCCTGCCTTCTGTCTCACCACCATCCAGATCTCTAGGATGCTAGAACCAGAGCTTGTTAGTGGGAGAAATGATACTAGAAATCCTCTACTCTTCATAAGGAAAAACTGCAGAGCCAAAGGGGATTCAGCAACTCACCAGTCACACAGTCATTAACAGCAAATCAAAGAATTCATTCTCTTAAACACACCCATCCAGCACATGGAACCAAGCTAAGGAAGTTTTAAGGTGACAATTTTTTCCCACCACAATCCTCTGATGAATACAAGACCTGCAAGTCCCAGTAAAATGAGGTTAAGGTATCCCCTCCTTCCCAGCTCCTTCCAGGAAATCTACATTACCTAAATCACCGGCTACTGGGATTTTAAAATAAATTACCTTACGGGGAGAGCTTGTTAATGAAATGGAATAATGAATGACTGGCTGTTGTTCAGATTAAGGAACTTCCCATTGAGTCTGTCTCGTACCTCAGTGACTTGTTTTCCTAAGAACATTCAAGAGGCAGCCATTACAAAAGTAACCTATTCAGGACACGTGGGTTCGATCCCTGGCTCAGGAAGATTCCGTGGAGGAGAGCATGGCAAGCCACTCAAGTATCCTTACCTGGAGAATCCCATGGACAGAGGAGCCTGGCGGGCTACAGTTAATGAGCTTGCAAAGAGTCGGACACAGATGAAGCAACTTAGCACTCATTCTTCCAGGCCAGACGATTGCTGCCAGACAAATCATTCTTACCCCTTCATCTACAATTCAATGATGCAGTATAAGTCCCCAACTTCTGGGATTTAAATTTCAGCCTAAATTTATTTAGCCCACACTGAGTTGATTGGGAAAACCCTGTGATGACTGAATTTACCTTCAATTAGCAAAATTAGGTTTCCCACAACTAGCAGAATGGGGCTCAAAATGCATGCTAAGATCAGTTATATAAAAACAGAGATTTCTCTACCAGATGAGAAATATCCTGAAAATGTATACCCCCTTAAAAATCAATGTTATTTCTAAAGAAAAAAAAAAGTAACCTATTTTTATTAACTGCTGAATTTTAAACAGAAATTGTATGGAAGATATTTACTAATCAACAGGAAGCACCTGCCATGGGTTGCGTTATTTGTAGAACCGCAAACTGAGGGGAAATCAGGCAAGCCTAGTGTTTGCTTTAACTGTCTCCCTTTTCAAGTATCTTCACTGATGTACATGTTACTGAAGGTACAACCTTTAAAGTTTGGAACAAAATGAAAATATTTCACATACTGAACATAGTGGTTCCCCCAATGACACATTTCTAGAGAAAAGCATTCAGCCAGTTGGGCTTCCCAGGTGGTGCTGGTGGTAAAGAATCCACCTGCCAATGCAGGTAGACCTAATAGATGTGGGTTCGATCTCTGGATCCAGAAGATCCCCTGGAGGAGGGCAAGACAACCCACTGCAGTATTCTTGCGTGGAGAATCCCAGGGACAGAGGAGCCTGGTGCACTACAGTCCATAGGATAGCACAGAGTCGGACACGACTGAAGTGACTTAGCACACATGCACACACATTCAGCCAACTGGATGTTACAGATATGGTTCCAACTACAGTAAAATTAATGCTCCAGTTCTCAATCCTCCAGTCCCTGAAAAGGTTGAATGATAATACCAAAGCAACATTTCAGTGTAACTGGATCCTACAGGAAAAGAATACACAAGGCAATTAGTTCCTTAGTCAAAAACAATAAACACAAAAGCAGACACAGTCCAATTCATCCAATTTACTTGACAGAATCAAAGGGACTAATTTTAGAAGTCTCAACTTTTGAAAGCAAATACAGACTTAGAACAGAGGGTAAAGTAAGCTAAATTTATATCCTCTCCCCACCCTGCTCCTAGAACACTCCTCCTTCAAAATACCACTTTAGTAGGAAGCTGCTGAGGACCAGATTGATAGCTTGACTATGGCTCCACCAATTCAATTGAAAACTTAAAGCTGATACCTAGTTACTTCTATTCTAGAAACGTAAAAACACACACGTCACTGACCAACACTGTATGGTTGTACAGAGTGACAGTGTAGATATGGAAGAAAAGCCAAGTTGAACTTCTCTGAAAAAAATACATAAAATCATTTCCCCAATAGCTTTGATGGAATAAATGCTCACGTTCACAGTGTGAAAGATAACATACTAAACAAAACAGATCAAATGTTTTACTTTAGAAGTGTGCCTCTTTGCAAAAACCACCATGTTTGATACTTTAAATCTTTTCATTCTGTAACTGAAGTCAGTAAGGAGACATGTCTTGTAATTTCAGTTTATTAATAGTTTTGTTAACGATTTTAAAAACTGGATTACAAAATGTTTAACTAGCTCTTGCCACTTATTTTCAAAAAGTCCTAAATTTGGTGTATTATGACAGTTTACAAGATCTTCTCGACTTAGGGGTCAAACCTAAGTCTCTGCATTGGGAGTGGATTCTTTACCACTGAGCCACCAGGGAAGCCCAGTACAAGTAATATCATTGCCTCCATCCCACCCCACAAATCGCAGCATCAGTCCTTAAATACTTAAGTGCTTATTTCAATTTTAACTGGCCCACAGACCCACTTCTTTGAGAGCTGAGCTGATTTCCTTCTAGCACATGGTCTATAGACTGTGTTCATGGTACCTTTCCAACCCCTTTCCAATGTGTCAGCACCTTCCATCATGAATTTTAAGTTCAAACTGTCAATACAACCCTCAAAATGCAAGTTTATTGAATAAAGCTGAGAAGAGCAGTAAACAGACAAAAAAATGCATCCACCTAAATTAAAAAAATTCATGTATTTACAAAGTTTGGTAACTGTTAGGTTTCACATGCAGAAGTTAATGCACAGGAAAATGTTGGTAGTAGTGTCTGGATGTCTTGAAATGCTGGAAGCAATGAAGAGACACACAAACACATTACGGTTCAGCTGTAGGTCAATTAAACGAACCTATGCAGTCCCCGCAAAGTCACACATTCGAGTTCTGGTTCCTCCTTTTAGGCACAAGCAAGTTGCCACATTCTTGGTAATGGTTCACAGTGACCATTAATGGTGTTGAGATACAGTAGCAAGTTTACATATCCCTTTGTTTACAGAACCATCCAACCCATCAGGGAAGTATGCAACATGCATCAAAGAGTAAGAACAGAATTTTAAAAGCTGCGGTTCTACTCATAAAAACGTGAGTGGAGGAAAGCAAGTAGTGTCTGTGCAACATGATGCAGTGTTTTGTACAGAATATTTTTAAGGCCATGGCAGTCTATAAATTAAAACTTGGTATCATTAAAAGAACTGACGCTGACTGCACTTTGAGTGCTCAACACGTTTGGAAATGCACTGTCTACATGAGTGCTGCTTAACAAAAGAAACAAAATCACACACAGTGTGAGGCAACACATAAGCAGGTGTACCACAGACTTTTAGCTACTACAGAGGGCTATGTAAGTAACGATTCACAAGTGATCCAGTTTTCATATGTCCCTTTATGTGTATGGAGATCACTAAGCTACAAAACATGTTCACGGAAGTCTGCACACATCTCTGCAGCACAGAAGCAAACAACAGACAGCACTGGTTCCTCCGCTCTCTGTGATTATTCAACAACCTGCAGACTGGGCATGATTACATCAGAGAAAGCAGGCAGGTCTAGAGTTGTCACAACAGTCAGGATGTCCAACGGCACCGGAGAGAACAGTGCCAAAGCTTGTATTGGTAAGAGAGAAAAATAAGACTTTTTATTTATCTCTAAGTATCTACTGTGCTGAAAGTCAACTTTATGACTGAATATAAAAAGTCAAGAGTTAGAGTGTCATGCAGCAACACTGGTTTAATAACTGGACAGAGAAAGAACAAACAGGTGTGTGAACAGTCTGACATTCTTAACACGTTTTATTATATTGGCTGGAATGCTCTAAATTCATGAAAGCTTTTGAGAAAATCTTCAATTCCCAACCCCTTAAAAAAGTGTGTTGAACCAGGAGAAAATAAAGGAGAAAAAATACAGAAGTATGATCTGGACAGATACAAAACAGCATGCCTCAGTTCCTCCCGTACCCCCAACTGCTTTCTGGAGATGAAGAATTCTCACAGAGCAGAATGTGTTTAAAATTCATTGCCTAAGATCTTCCCAGTGTAAAGAACCAATAACAACATTGATCTGGTGCCTCTGCTCACTCTTTGCAGACCATTTTTAAAAATTCCTAAGGTGTAATTATACATTTCACATGCATTTGTGAGATATATAAACATTATGTTTCTATCCCACATAAGTCAAGCTAAAGGTTTGCTAAATACTGTGTGTGGCACTAGAAATGTCATGCTGTATCAAGTCAATATCAGTATTAAGCTACTGGACTCTATAATGAAATATCTTAGATAGACATTTACTGAAAACGAATAGAAAAACCTGGCCCAGAAAGACCAGAACAGAAGTATGCAATTTTTCTTGATTTAAGATGGTCAAAAGTGTGTTTGTTTGTTTAAAAAAAAAAGCTCTACACACTGGTAAAGACAAGTATGTATAGGCAGTCTTTTTGTGCGTGTTGACGCTATCATGACAACTCTAGCTGATTCTTTATGAAGGGCTAGGGATATACATCTTCAGCAGTGCACATGAGAAATAAACTCTGAAAAAGGCAATTTCTTGGGTTTACGAAGGACCGTATTCTGGGAAGTACTTCAGAGGAACGGACAATAATTCTAGGATTAGAGCCAGGAAGGACTGGAAGACTTCAGGAGATGCTTCAGCTTCTTCTAGATTTTGAATGTTGAATAAGCCACTGAAGTGTGATATCTAAAGATGGAGGGAAAAAAAGTGAAGATGTTAAGACATCAAAGTGAAGAAACTAGATATCAGAGATAATATTTAAAATGCGGCTATTTCAAAGCCTATGTCAGGCCTGCCCTCTTCTCTTCTGCCTCTCTACTACTATAATACAGAGGTATCTGTACCTGCACTACTGTTCTTCAGTACCTGACCTTTGAGAGGTTCATCTGGAAACTCGAGGAACCAAACAGTCTCCAATTTAAAAGTTAAATTGTGTACAGAACAGCCTGTGCCTTTCTTTATTCATTCAAAAGTTTACTGATTGCCTGTAAGATCAGGTATTGTATGTGAAGTACCAGAAATGCAAAGAGATGGGAGAACCCCTCTCTACTTTCAAAGGGCTTTAGCATATAATAGTTGGAAAAGACGCAAATAGAATTTGGATTTGGAGGATGGCCCTCACAGAATTCCAGGCACAAGAAAGCGCAAAAGAAGAAACAAAGGCAGGAAACTGTGTAGAGCTCTAGATGGATGACAAGTGGTAGAGGTAGCTGAAGCGCAGGGATGGGGAAGGGATGCCGCTCACTGCTAAGGCTAGAGCAGGGGTTCTCAAGCTCACCCTGACATGGGGGGTTGGATATTCTTTGCTAGGAAGGTGGAGGGGACAGTCTTTCCTGTGTATAGTAGAATATTTTGCAACATCTATAACCCTGACCACAAGATGCCATTATTACCATCCCCCACCCTCAGCTGGGAAAACAAGTCATGTCTCCAGGGATCCCCAAACAGCCCCCGTGGAGCACAGCTGGCTTCAGTTGAGCACCACAGGCCTAGAGAGAGCCAGATACCCTTATGTGCCATTCTAAGAGGCTCAGAAGTTGGGCTTTTATTCTCAAGTCAATAGGAAGTCATTGGAGAATTTTAAGCAGGGAAGCTATACTGTTTATTATAAACTGTAAGTTCACTGTAGCAAGTTCAACAATGGCAACGGAGGAGGGCGCCTGGGAGGGCTGCCGGTACAGAGACTGATCATTCACAACGGGAACAGGAAAGGGACGAAAGCCTGGAGCAAATCGGATGTTGTGAGTACAGAGGAATAAAATGGGAAGCATATTTAAAATACAGAACTAGCAGGACTGACCAAATGCAGTGGGTGAGAAAGAATCTTTTCACCTGAATAAGTATGTGTTTATCACGGAGCTGCTGACTAATCCAGTGGCTAAAGGAAGGACAGATTTGGGAAAGAAAAAGACTAAGAATTCGGCAGTGAGCACATCAGGTCTGAGGTACAGAAGGGTAACACGTGCAGACGTTCAGCAGGTCGTTTCCGCTGTACAGATCTGAGGAAGAAACGGAGATACCATCGTGGAGGTGGCAACTGAAGCTACAGCGCCTGAGAAGAGTCAGGAAAAGCACTTCTGACAGAAGGCAGCTAAATCAAAACACTGAATTACTATCCCTTGAGTTCTTTAAAATGTGTTACCCACATAAAGGATACGTGAGCATCTACTAGAAGCAGCGCTCTCTTCTCCAAGTCTGGAGAATATTCAACCTCCCAATTTTCCAGCTAACATTCATTACAGAAACTGTAAGCCAAACACTGTATATAAAGAAGAGCCTAGAGCTGAGATCTGAACAGACACAACCTGTTCAGAGTTGGGGAAACGATGTTAAGCGGGTAATTTGCACTTTAAGAGGAGGACAGCAGTGTGTAATATGAGCAAAGCCGCAATCACTGCAATTGAAAGGGGGGGAAAGGGAAATGTGAAAGTGAAATGACTAGGTTTAAATATTTAAGAAGCACACTGTAAAAACAAACAAACCTATGGACACTGGACTTACGTCATACCCTAAAGACAGATGAATCCTTAAGACCAGACTAAAAGGCAAAAACTAAGATATTCAGATGAAGGAGTAGTTACCTCCATGATAAAAAAAGGCCACAGGCATCAACCATCTTCAAAAAGAGCATCTTCCCTGAAATAATCTACGCTACGCGTAGTTTGAGGACATATTACTAATGAAACTAAGGGACCTCATGTTCCCCATTAGAAACCTGTGAGTATAACATACAACCCAACCCATGTGCAACGAATACTTTGGGGAGCAATTTAGAAAACTGGTAAATTCGGTACTAAAATATATTACAAAAGCTGAAATTAAGGAGAGTACTCTGAGATTTTTTACTCAAGAAGCTTGACTTGGCTGTTGCACTTCTCGCTCCAAATAAACAGGCCTTACAAACTAATTTTGAATCTAGTTAACAGTGCAGGTCAGTTTCCTTAAGCTTGATAATAATATGAAATGAACTGTGAAGATTAGGCTTAAAGAGCATTAAGAAGGTCTCACCAGTTCTCCTGCATTTCCTTCATAAATGAGCAAAGTATCTGACTAGTTTGTCACAGCAGAAAATAAGGGTTTTTTCCTGCCTTCCAACATTTTCCTCTCCCCCATATCGGAAAACTCCACAGGAAATTTAAGGGAGTCATGGATTTACAGAATAGCACAATGAACTAAAAATCATGGTTAGTATAGAACAGGGTTTCTCAATCTTGCCACTACTGGCATTTCAGGCTGAACAATTCTCAGCTCTGGAGGCGACAGAATGTTAGGACCACCCTGGTCTCCACCCACCTGATGCCAGCATCATTCTCCTCACTAAGACAAGTGAGAGAGTCTCCAGGGGGAAAAATGCCAAATGTCTCTGGGGGAAAAATAATCCCTCCGTGAAAACCTCTGCTGTGTAAGTAAATGCTCTCATGGGGGCACAACTTAAAACTTAACAAGAGTTCCCCTCAACACAGGAAAAACATTTTAAATAAACTTGAAGTAACCCTAAGTGCTGGAGCAGTCTGTTCTCAAATGAGCTAGATGATCCCAAAATAACAAGTCACTTATTCTATCTAATTAACAGAGGAGAGTTTGTGTCCATCAACAATGTACTGGGCTCACACTGCTCTGGGTGGTCTTCAAAGGAAGCCCAGAGCCAGTGAGAAAAGCCATCAGTACTATAAGCCAATTAGAGCAGGTCTGAGGGGAAAGGGGCAGGAGCTGAGACACAGAATGGAAATGACTGGGGGAAAAAAGTTAAGTATGGTGAGAAACAATACATATTGAATAAAGGCTAAAGAAAAAGTGTCAAAAACTTTTTAAACACACTGTTTTGGCACTACTGATTCATTACATTTTATTCTGATCTACTTTGTTAATTGGTGAAATGACTATGGAAGAATGGTGAGCAAGAGAGAATTTGAAGATGGGGAAGGAGCCATGAGCCAAGAGAACAGGCAGTCTCTAGAAGCGGAAAAGGACCAAGTAATGGATTCTGCCCTCTACAGTCTCCAGAAGGAGCTCGCCTGTCATTTCAGTCCTAGACTTTAGCTCAGTGAGGTCAGTGACAGGCTTCTGACAGCAGCAAAACGAATATACTCCTGTGATGTCCCCCACAAGTTAAACACTGCAATTCATTTTTTTACTCACTCCTGTTAAGAGAGTTTTGAAGTTGCTGCCACCATCCTCATGTTACAGATGAGTACAACGCAGAAATCAGGCAGCTTCAGTGCCCTGTCCAAGGCCAGTGAGAAAGTAACAGGACCAGGTGCTCCACGCTGAGGCTGCCTTACTCCAAAGCCCATGCTATTTCTAGCCACTACGCAGCCCTGATGGAGACCCTCTTTTTCTACAATGACCCACTGAGAGAAACTTTTTCACCAGTAACCACCAACTGGGAGAAGTGAAGGAGCCATGAAAATCCCTTGGTTCCTACCCAGCTGCTTCAAGGCACACATATCAAACTCTCCTTTCAGACTTCAGTGGAGTCTGTCATGCCAGACAAGACAGCTTGAGAAGCTTGTGTCACAAAGTTATCTTTTACTAGGGAGTATTTTTTATTGCAGTGTTACTGGTCTTTTCACTTGAGCAGCTGTCTAACACTGAAAAGCCTTTCATCTTGTCAAACACTTCTCTTTCTTTTCTTTTTTTAACCTTCTGATCTCCATGCAAATACACTTTAATTAAACAATCCCTCACCAAATTAACAGACTGCAGTTGAGTCACACATATTTATTCTTTAAGGATACTGTACTGGATTGAATGGTGACCCCTAAAAATTCACATCCACCCGGAACCTCAGAATTTATTTGGAAATTGGGTCTTTGCAGACATAGGATGAGGTAATTCCGGGTTAGGGTTGGCCCTAATCCAGTAACATGTGTCCTTGGTAAGAAGAGAAAACAGACATTCAGACATACACACAGAGGAGAAAGCCATGTTGAAGCCAGAGGAAGAGGGTGGAGATACAAAGCTACCACCCAGGAAAGTCAAAGACTGCCGGCAGCCACACGCCAGGAAAAGGCAGGGAAAGATCCTCCCCCAGAGCCATCAGAGAGAGCACGGCCCTGCTGACACCGACACCAAACTTCTACCCTCCTAAACCTGAGAGAATAAATTTCTGCTGTTTCTAAGCCACCCCGTTTGTGGTACTTTGCAGTCCTAGGAAATTAATACAGAACATTAAGTAGGTAAAGGGTTATTTTTGGCTTATACTTGCGAGTGCTAACATACTGCAGTAATATACTGGTTTGATAAATGAAAAATCCTTACAGTGCCTGTAAACCAACCTCTGTTAAGTCTTATTTCAAGAACATCTAAAGCACAGTTAAGACACTAGCTCTGCAAAAATACAATAAGCTGATAGCACATAATTAATTTCATGTCTTTATTTCATTTACTTCTTTAAATAGCATAGAGCAGATTCAGGATACTGTATTTGTTGCTAAAAGGTATAGTGCCTACTCTTTTTCCTGAGGCAAAAGCAATTGTACTTTATAGGAGAAATCAAGTAAACAGAAATACAGGTAATAAACAGTAAAAAGAATGAGACATTCCTTCTATTGATATCAACTTCTCCACAAATATCAGTCATTTCTTACCTATATTATCCTTTTCTTTGCAAGAAATTGAATAGCAGCAAATTTCTCTATCCTGAATAGCAGACAGATTCCTGTAAGAAGCAGAATTAGGAAAGTTAAGTCTGGGCTTTTAAAACAATTGCCATCTTATCAATCTATGCTCAATTTTACTTGTTCTTTTAAATAATTATACTGAAGAAATATTATTACTAATAAAATTTTACGGGTTTACTTCTCTAGTATGTCAAGTTTACCTACCCCAAAACAGGGCTATGATCATTACTAAATAATGGAAGAAAGCTAAACAAAACAGTGGGCAAAACAGTGTATCTTATGGGCAAAATAGAACCAATTTTTTTAAAAAAACCCATCATTCATTCTTAAGACATACATTTTTTCAATTAGCTGTTTCTCATCCAAGGCATTAGGAAGATCTCTCTTGTTTCCAAGTACTAGCACCTTTGAAAAGAAAAGTCATTGAGTAAATTTTATGTAAGAAAACATCACAGAAGCATATTCACATGTGTACACAGTAAAATCAGGTTACCTCATGCCATAATATTAAAAGCATATTTACATGACCAGTGGCCTATCTCATTTCACTTCATAATTCAAATAAGCATTTACTCTAACTTCTATTAATGCCATGCAGATGTCTAATTCAGTATGTGGCTACCAACTTCTGTTTAATGCAGAAGCGTGGCCAAGAGGAGCTACCCCTCGCCCAAGGTCAGGGGCGGCGACCAAGAGCACCAGGCTACAACTGCGCAGGAGCGGCCGAGAGGAGCTACCCCACGCCCGAGGTCAGGGGCGGCGGCCGAGACAAGCTACCCCACGCCCGAGGTCAGGGGCAGAGGCCGAGACAAGCTACCCCACGCCCGAGGTCAGGGGCGGCGGCCGAGACGAGCTACCCCACGCCCAAGGTCAGGGGCAGAGGCCGAGAGGAGCTACCCCACGCCCGAGGTCAGGGGCAGAGGCCGAGAGAAGCAATCCCATGCCCAAGGTCAGGGGCAGAGGCCGAGAGAAGCAATCCCATGTCCAAGGAGCGGCGGCTGCGCGGGAGCAGGACGGCTGAGAGGAGCTACTCCACATTCAAGGTCAGGAGAAGCAGCTGTGAGGAGATACCCCTCATCCAAGGTAAGGAGCAGCGGCTGCACTTTGCTGGAGCAGCGGTAAAGAGATACCCCACGTCCAAGGTAAGAGAAATCCAAGTGAAACCCAAGTAAGATGGTAGGTGTTGCAAGAGGGCATCAGAGAACAGACACATTGAAACCATAATCACAGAAAACTAGCCAATCTGATCACAGGACCACAGTCTTGTCTAACTCAATGAAACTAAGCCATGACGTGTGGGGCCACCCAAGATGGACGGTTCGTGGTGGAGAGGTCTGACACAACATGGTCCACTGGAGAAGGGACTGGCAAACCACTTCAGTACTCCTGCCTTGAGAACCCCATAACAGTATAAAAAGGCAAAATGACAGGATACTGAAAGAGGAACTCCCTAGTTCGGTAGGTGCCCAATATGCTACTGGAGATCAGTGGAGAAATAACTCCAGAAAGAATGAAGGGATGGAGCCAAAGCAAAAACAATACCCAGCTGTGGATTGGACTGGTGATAGAAGCAAGGTCCAATGCTGTAAATAGCAATATTGCATAGGAACCTGGAATGTTAGGTCCATGAATCAAGGCAAATTGGAAGTGGTCAAACAGGAGGTGACAAGAGTGAACATCGACATTCTAGGAATCAGTGAACTAAGATGGACACTGGAATGGGTGAATTTAACTCAGATGACCATTATATCTACTACTGTGGGCAGGAATCCCTTAGAAGAAATGGAGTAGCCATCATAGTCAACAAAAGAGTCCGAAATGCAGTACTTGGATGCAATCTCAAAAATGACAGAATGATCTCTGTTCATTTCCAAGGCAAACCATTCAATATCACGGTAATCCAAGCCTATGCCCCAACAAGTAACGCTGAAGAAGCTGAAGCTGAACGGTTCTATGAAGGCCTACAAGACCTTTTAGAACTAACATCCAATAAAGATGTCCTTTTCATTAGAGGGGACTGGAATGCAAAAGTAGGAAGTCAAGAAACACCTGGAGTAACAGGCAAATTGGGCCTAAGAGTACGGAATGAAGCAGGGCAAAGGCTAATAGAGTTTTTCCAAGAGAACACACTAGTCATAGCAAACACCCTCTTCCAACAACACAGGAAAAGACTCTACACCTGGACATCACCAGATGCTCAATACCGAAATCAGATTGATTATATTCTTTGCAGCCGAAGATGGAGAAGCTCTATACAGTCAGCAAAAAACAAGACTGGGAGCTGACTGTGGCTCAGATCATGAACTCCTTATTGCCAAATTCAGACTTAAATTGAAGAAAGTGGAGAAAACCACTAGACCATTCAGGTATGACCTAAATCAAATCCCTCATGACTATACAGTGGAAGTGAGAAATAGATTTAAGGGACTAGATCTGATAGAGTGCCTGATGAACCATGGACGGAGGTTCGTGACATTGTACAGGAGACAGGGATCAAGACCATCCCCGTGGAAAAGAAATGCAAAAAGGCAAAATGGTTGTCTGAGGAGGGCTTACAAACAGCTGTGAAAAGAAGAGAAGCAAAAAGCAAAGAAGAAAAGGAAAGATATTCCCATTTGAATGATGAGTTCCAAAGAATAGCAAGGAGAGATTAGAAAGCCTTCCTCGGTGATCAATGCAAAGAAATAGAGGAAAACAATAGAATGGAAAAGACGAGAGATCTCTTCAAGAAAATTAGAGATACCAAGGGAACATTTCATTCAAAGATGGTTTCGATAAAGGACAGAAATGGTATGGACTTAAGAGAAGCAGAAGATACCAAGAAGAGGTGGCAAGAATATATAGAAGAACTATACAAAAAAGATCTTCACAACCCAGATAATCACGATGGTGTGATCACTCACCTAGAGCCAGACATCCTGGAATGTGAAGTCAAGTGGGCCTTAGGAAGCATCACTACGAACAAAGCTAGTGGAGGTGATGGAATTCCAGTTGAGCTATTTCAAATTCTGAAGTGAAAGTGCTGCACTCAATATGCCAGCAAATTTGGAAAACTCAGCAGTGGCCACAGGACTGGAAAAGGTCAGTTTTCATTCCAGTCCCTAAGAAAGGCAATCCCAAAGAACGCTCAATCTACCACACAAGTGCACTCATCTCACATGCTAGTAAGTAATGCTCAAAATTCTCCAAGTCAGGCTTCAGCAATACATGAACAGTGAACTTCCAGATGTTCAAGCTGGTTTTAGAAAAGGTAGAGGAACCAGAGATCAAATTGCCAATATCCGCTGGATCATTGAAAATCCAAGAGAGTTTCAGAAAAAGATCTATTTCTGCTTTACTGACTATGCCAAAACCTTTGACTGTGTGGATTACAATAAACTGTGGAAGATTCTGAAAGAGATGGGAATACCAGACCAGCTGACCTTCCTTTTGAGAAACCTATATGCAGGTCAGGAAACAACAGTTAGAACTGGACACGGAACAACAGACTGGTTCCAAATAGGAAAAGGAGTACGTCAAGGCTGTATATTGTCACCCTGCTTATTTAATCTCTATGCAGAGTACATCATGAAAAACGCTGGGCTGGAAGAAGCACAAGCTGGAATCAAGATTGTCAGGAGAAATATCAATAACCTCAGATATGCAGATGACACCACCCTTATGGCAGAAAGTGAAGAGGAACCAAAAGCCTCTTGATGAAAGTGAAAGAGGAGAGTGAAAAAGTTGGCTTAAAGCTCAACATTCAGAAAACTAAGATCATGGCTTCTGGTCCCATCACTTCATGGGAAATAGATGGGGAAACAGTGTTAGACTTTATTTTGGGGGGCTCCAAAATCACTGCAGATGGTGATTGCAGCCATGAAATTAAAAGATGCTTACTCCTTGGAAGGAAAGTTATAACCAACGTAGATAGCATATTAAAAAGCAGAGACATTATTTTGCCAACAAAGGTCCATCTAGTCAAGGCTATCGTTTTTCTAGTGGTCCTGTATGGATGTGAGAGTTGGACTATAAAGAAAGCTGAGCGCTGAAAAATTGATGCTTTTGAACTGTGGGGTTGGAGAAGACTCTTGAGAGTCCCTTGGACAGCAAGGAGATCCAACCAGTCCATCCTAAAGGAGATCAGTCCTGGGTGTTCATTTGGAAGGACTGATACTGAAGCTGAAACACCAATACTTTGGCCACCTCGTGTGAAGAGTTGACTCATTGGAAAAGAACCTGATGCTGGGAGGGATTGGGGGCAGGAGGAGAAGGGGACGACAAAGGATGAGATGGCTGGATGGCATCACCGACTCGATGGACATGCTGCTGCTGCTAAGTCACTTCAGTCGTGTCCGACTCTGTGCGACCCCATAGATGTTAGCCCACCAGGCTCCCCTGTCCCTGGGATTCTCCAGGCAAGAACACTGGAGTGGGTTGCCATTTCCTTCTCCAATGCATGAAAGTGAAACGTGAAAGTGAAGTCGCTCAGTTATGTCCAACTCTTAGCAACCCCATGGACTGCAGCCTACCAGGCTCCTCCGTCCATGGGATTTTCCAGGCAAGACTACTGGAGTGGGCTGCCATGAGCTTGAGTAAACTCCGGGAGTTGGTGATGGACAGGGAGGCCTGGCGTGCTGAGATTCATGGGGTTGCAAAGAGTCAGACATGACTGAGTGACTGAACTGAACTGAACTGAACTGGAGTCTATGGTATGCATTCTGTTATTTCTTAACAAATCTTTACCAAAATGTGAATATGATATTAACTGAGGGTGGAGGCATGATTTTCAACCATTGTTATGTGTTAGGCATTAACCTAACAGTAATTTTAATTACTTTAAAATTCTGCACCCATCCTATAAAATATCATGTATAAATATTAAGACAATGGGTAAGTTTGGGAATCAGGATAAACACAGTAGCCATCAACTCTGAGAACAAACGTGTCATGTGATTACTCAATGTGCTTTGAAAAAAGAAGAAAGTGGAGAGGGGCATCCCAAAACCATTCTGTCTTTCCCAGGTATCTTCTTTCTGCCTTACAAAAAGCAAATACTATGAGTACACATAATGTATTTGATAACATCCTTACTCTGAGTCAATGTTCTCCAAGAACTTGTATCTTTGACCAAGCCTAAGAAAGTGCACACCATGTCTACCTAGCCGGCTCGTCAAACACGTGTCAAACCTACGTCTTTCACTTAATACAAGTCCCACCCCCACCCTCAACTCCAGACACTGTGACTGATTCTACTCAGAGGCCCTAGACTCATTCTCAGAAAGAGGAAAGAGCCAAGAATAGACCCACAGAATGAAAGGAGCACCACTAGCTCTCCAAAGAATGCTAAAATCGTAGGGGTCAGAGAGTCAAAAGCCAAATCTGTAGCCTGTCTGCCGTTCTCCCATTCTTACCCCTCTCCAAACCCTGGTGGCTCAGAAGGTAAAGAATCCATCTGCAATGCAAGTACCAGGTTTTGATCCCTGTGTTGGGAAGAAGGGAATCGCAACCCACTCCAGTATTCTGGTCTGGAGAATCCTGTGGACAGAGGAGCCTCGCAGCTACAGTCCATGGGGTCACAAAGAGTCAGACACGACTGAGTGACTTACCCTTTCACCAGGTCTTACTAAGTAACCCCAGATTCTCAACCTGGATCTATGTGAGTTTAAATAAAAAAAACGTATCCTGGTCATTTGTGATCAGTTCTCAGTTTTGGGATTGCCTGGCATCTTAGTCCTCTTCCTACTTTTAAGTAGTCTTTCAAAGAAAAAAACAAACAAAGAAATCTTCCACGTTATGACTCTACCTCCCAGTAAAGCTACTTGCTTCTGTAGATAATTTCTTTTCCAGCCTTCTTTTCTGCTAGAGAATGGACATACAATCTATGATCAACCAAAACCCTGAATGCAGAGCCAGTTTTACAAGAAAGCAGGAATACTGAACCCATTCTGCTTTAGAAGGGGCATCAACTAAATGACCTTCCAACTGGAGCAATTGAGTCTGGTGTTCACAAACTGCATGGGGTCACCAGACTGACTATATGATGTCAATCTGTATGTGATCCTGGCAACTGCTGAGCTTTCCCTTGTTCCAGTGTGTTTTCTCAACACAGTTATGGGCAGCCTTCTCAAGACTGTAAACTACCCAATATTGTTTCAGTGAATTCCTCTCTACTTAAACAGCTATCTATTGTTTGCTACTAAGAACTCTCATGGGGAACAAGATTTTTTTTTTACTTATGGTATGCAATATTTTGGTCATCTGATGCGAACAGCTGACTCATTGGAAAAGTCCCTGATGCTGGGAAAGACTGAGGGCAGAAGGAAAAGAGGGTGTCAGAGGATGAGATGGCTGGATGGCATCACCAATGCAATGGATATGAACTTGGGCAAACTTCAGGAGATGGTGAGGGACAGACAGGCCTGGCATGCCGCAGTCCATGGGGTCACAAAAAGTCAGACATGACTAAGTGACTGAACAACAACACATGCAGAACTAGTTAACACAAAAAAAAAAGGACAGGCCTTGAAGTCAGAAATAAATAGATTCAAAACCTGGTTGTGCAATGCACTAGTCACCATGTGATCCTGCGCAAATAACAACTGTCACCAGGAGGGATCACACCATCACCCTCAGTACACTGTGATGATTACCTAAGATAACATACTTCAGGGATCTGACACTCATGACCTTGTCATGAGGGTAAAGCCGGGGCCTTTTCCAGCATTCTTTCACTCAACAAATGGCACCATCTTCCATCTAACCATATTAGCCAGGAACTAGGAATTGTCCTGTTTATCTTCCTTTCTAAGTCTGGTGGACGGTCTTCTTAAATAGCCTCCACATCTATTTCCTTCTCACAACCTTGTCTATGACCCCCCAATCCATGGTACTCTATTTGCCAAGAAAAGTTCAAAACTGTCTTGAACTTGAAAACTGTTTCAACAGCTTCCTAAAACTGTTCTCCTTATGCTAAGCTGCTTCAGTCATGTCTGACTCTTTCCCACTTCATGGACTGTAGCCTGCCAAGCGCCTCTGTCCATGGGATTCTCCATGCAAGAATACTGGAGTGGGTAGCCATGCCCTTCTCCAGGGAATCTTCTCAACCCAGGGATCGAACCCGCGTGTCTCCTATGTCTTCTGCACTGGCAGGTGGGTTCTTTACCACTAGCACCACCTGGGAATAGTCCCCATGCAATCCATTTTTAAACTGAAATAATAATGATTTAGATAATAAGTCTGAGCATTTAAAACACCCAGTCCCACCCGGCACAGCTTCCTGAAGTACCCCTGCTCACAAAGCTCTACCCGCCCACTCGGCTCAGCGCTCTAGAGACACCAGCCTCCTCCCAAACCCTACTTCCTCCTACCTAAGAGCCTCTGCCTGCAATTCTCTTTCCCTCCAACTGTCACATCCCTCACATGCCTACACATCCCTCGCATCTCAGCTCAAGTAGCACTTCTTGGGGAATCTTTCCTTCTTCCCTCAAACTATACCACATCTGCCCTGTAACTTACAACTCCATAAGCCCCTTGTATCTCTCCTTCATAGCACTTATCAGAGCTGCATTATTCAAGCGATTTTCATATCATCTACCTAGTTTCCTACTAAACCATAAGCTCCATGATGGCAGTAAGCATCTACTTCTATCCACTTCTCTTCACTACTATTTCCCCAGGACTAAGCACTGCTTCTACTACATACAGTTCACTAACCAGCTTGTTAAGAAATGACTAAATAGCACACTGCCCAGCATGTGATGGATACTCAGTAAATATAAGCTGTCCAGACTTTAAAACAAATAAAGACACTCTACTGATTTCAAACATAATTAACAAAAATGCATAATTAAACTTTTAGTAATATAACTACAAATATTATAATCATATAATGTGAAATTAACCATACTTACTGGAATTCCTTGTAACTGCGGTTTATCTAGAAGATTATGTAGTTCATTTCGAGAGGCTTCTATCTTTTCACGATCTGCAGCATCTATCATGTAACTTAAAAAAAAAAAAAGTGATCTAAAAATGCCTCCACCATATTCTTTGATGATCACAATGAACAAATTTTTAATTTTCTTAATTTACACTACTGAAACTGTTGATCAAAATTAAGTCCTAGATTTTAAAAGGCTGTCACCCCAAAATACTTTTTAATAGACTATCCTACAAACTACTATATACAGAATTAGATAAGCTTCAAGGATATATAACACAGGAAATCATACCCATTATCTTTCAATAATCCATAATGGAGTATAACCTGCAAAAATACTGAATCTCTATGCTGCACACCTGAAACTCATACTGTTAATCAACTAAACCCCAATAAAATAAGCAGAGAAACAGACTGCTCTTTAGGGGGTAAAACATGTATATCCATTAGCTCTTAGCAACATACAAAAAAAAAACAAAACTCCAATTTGATGATTAATTTTTTAAAGTCTGATGTTAATGGGAAATTATACTAAGAAAATACCTAAAAAAGATTTTACTGCCAGAAATAAAAATTAAGCCTTTAGAAGTATGGAAAATGACTTATTTCCTTGAAACCTAAACTGACTATAAGGGGGGTGGGGGCGGAAGGGAGGCAGCTTACACAATAGCGTTGACTCCTCTGCAGTACCGTTCCCACATGCTCCGGAAGCGGGGTTGTCCTCCTATGTCCCAAATCTTCAAATCAAGACAGACAGATCTTAATATTTCAAATAACACAGTGAAGAAATAAGCGGCAGATGGAAGGGAAAACAAGCAGCAGATATGCTCAGCTCCACAATGTTAAGAGCCAAACTGCTTTGGAAAAATCCGAGCTCAAACAAGCTCTTGTCCTGGAAGTTCTTGGGGCCATCTCTGAACTTGAAGTTCGTATTTAACACATTTACATTAGATCTAATAGGTGCTGCTTGAGCAACGATTTCATTTTGGGGCAATACTTTCTTTGCCTGTTAACCAATAGATTTCCAATACTGAAAACCTATTTTTAAAAAAATAGTAACTCTTACAATCTGCATGATCACACATCATCCACCTCTGAAGTCCAAGAGAAAAAAAAAACTCTTCATTCAGAATCTATTAAAGTTTAATTGTCTGATGGGGTATATATATTAGGATGTAATCATTTTAAATTATTCTGTATATAACATAGAAAATATTCCTACCTAGATGCTTTTCTTATATAAAGTTGTTTTATCCATATGAAAGCCACCAACTACAGTTACTGCACTATTATGGCTACTCTGTAGGGCTATGTAAAGGTCTTAAGTCATGATGTTTATCTTCAAAAGGCTTCCAATTTAGCTACAGACACTGGACGCATGCATAATGACATACACGAGACATTAGAAGCTTCATTAGAAAAGCTACAGAAAGAATTTAGCAAACAGCTTCTGTGAGCCACAAGAACTGGGTAAAATGGCCATAAGGGTTTACACTATAGAAGCAAAACTCCCCACATGAACAAAGGAGCTAAAAATAATAAAAATAAATTAAAAACCGGTCCAACAGTCCACAATGCAAACCTATCAAACTTATTCTAGAAACAAAATTATGTTAAACTAGTTAATTTTTACTGTTTTATAGTTTTAATTTTAGGGCTTAGTAGCAAAGAAAGGGAAAACTGGGTTACCGTATTTGCTACCATAAATACAATACTAAATTAACCAATATTATAAACAGTTACTCTCTTTCAACATAAATTATTCATGAAATATATGCAATATTACATTCCAAACACTCTGAAGATGGGATTTTTATTTCCCAGGAACATCTAAATCCCAAATATTACTTCTGTCAACCCATATGCAAAGTTTTTTATGGGACTTAACATTTCAACACTTAAACATTTTTATCTATTAGAGAAAGAAGGAAAAAAATTAATTTACACTCTTTTGGAACATGCCCAATTAAGAACTGCCAATACTCATGTAAAAACCAAAGAAACAAACAGAAAAATTCCTAATTTGTATGTGCTAACAATTTACATCAAGTATGGCAAGCAGCTGACGTACCTTTATTGTGACGTTACCTTTAGTTACTTTTCTCATGTTGAAGCCCACTGTGGGTATCATATCTTCACTGAACTGACCTGACTGAATGAAAGAAAACATTTGAAGTTACATTAATTATTACTTATTAAAACTGCAACACTGTATAACCTTTCACATCAACATTACTTCTGTACCCATATTAGCAAATAACTAATTTTTTAGTGATGGTAACCTTAAGAAAAGACTGATAGCCATAGCTTCTGAAGAGACACATTTTTTTCATTCACAGACATTCTCCTTTTAAAGATATTTTTGAAACTAATGCAAATTTTATATATTTTTAAGTTTAAGAAAAATACTGTACAACTACTTAAGAAATCTGTTATGTAAATTTCCTCCACCTATACATACATTTTTGTATACATGGTAGAAGTAAATCAGAAGTAAATGGTTAAAGTTTCCTATTTGTAGCACTGAAATTATATTGACTATACTGTTAAAATTCACTGCTGCTCTTCTGAGTCAGCTTTTTAATAATGCTTATAAAATGTTTTTTTTTCCATAAAGATGATCCTCCTTTTATGTAGGATTCTATTCTATTCAATTCCATTCTCTTTTTGGTTTATAACCTTCCTGTCAGAGACCAAAATTAAGTATCTTCTAATACTATTTACATTTTTAAATGTTTATCCATCTGGAATTTGATTACACAGTGTAACAAAGGTCCATTTTACAAATGGATCTATAAATCCACACTTTCCTGACTAGATTGATGTGAAATGGCAAATTTCACATAGCGGCAGTTCTATATCTGAGTGCTCAATTCTTTTCCATTAGGCTGTTTTTTTCCAATTGGAAATAAATTAGGATTACACAAATTACTGTAGCTTATCTATATATTATTTTAAATAGCAAATCAAGAATTTGGAATGTTTAGAAATGTGGTTGATCTCTCACATTTGAAATAAACTTTAGAAAGTAATTATTTCTGTCACAATAGTAGCTGCCTTTTGTCAACTCTTGACACTGAACGAAGTCTCTCCACCCAAGCACATACGTCTGTCCACTCAAACGTTCCTTATATCCTCCAGTGAAGTATACCTAATCAGTCACATTAATACTGATTTTATATATTATGTATTTTGCGAAATGTTTCTCAAATGATCTGACTTGGGAATATGAAATATATCAACACGGGGCTCATTAAACAAATGGGACTATTTTAAAGGCCCTAACATCGGCCCATTGTTAGCCACACATTCACTTCAAAATGTCTACAAGTACTGAGAACAATGAATTCCAATTTCACAAGCTAATTTCTTCTACATAACCCCCAAAATGTTCTACTTCTTCTTCTTTTCCCCTACTGATCAGTGGCGTTTGGGCTAATCTCAGAAAAAATGTTAACACAACCATAATCACTATTTTATTTATACCTGTCAAACAGTATAATTTTCAGAACTTTCATATATGTGATTTATATGTGAAGATTTAGTTGTGATATTAAAACTACATATATCAAAACTAGCCATGACAAAAGAACAAAAAATATAGCCTGATTAAAACATGCACAGAGGTAACATCAAAGGCATGCTCTATAAAGGAAATAATAAGCTAACTTCATTAAACACTTCTGCTCTGCAAAAGACAATGTCAAGAGACTCAAAACAAGCCACAGAGTAGGCGGAAAATATTTGCAAAAGACATCTGATAAAAGACTATTATTGGAAATATACAATGAACTGTTAAAACTCAACAATATGAAAACAATCCAATTAAAATATGAGCCAAAGAGCTTACCAAAGGAGATATACAGATGGCAAAGAAGCACACGAAAAGACGCACCACATCATACATCACCATGAAAATGCAATTCAGAACAATGAGATACCACTGCAATCCATTTAGAGTGGCCCAAATCTGGTATTTTTTGATAACACCAAACGCTGATGAAGATGTGGAGTAAGAGGAACTCTCAGTCACTGATGATAGGTTTGTAGAAAGGTGCAGCCACTTTGGCAGACAGCTGACAGTATTTTACAAAACCAAACACACTCTTACCATACAACCCAGCAATCACACTCCTTGGTATTTACCAAAGAGCTTGAAAACTTAAGTCCACACAAAAATCCACACATTAAATGATTACTGCATCATTATTTATAATTGCTAAAACCTAAAACAACCAAGATGCCCTTCAGTAAGTGAAGAGATAAGACCGGTACATCCAGACAATACAGTATTATTCAGTACTAAAAAGAAATGATGTATATTATCCAGGGTGAAACAGATCACCAGCCCAGGTTGGATGCATGAGACAAGTGCTCGGGCCTGGTGCACTGGGAAGACCCAGAGGGATCGGGTGGAGAAGGAGGTGGGAGGGGGGACCGGGATGGGGAATACATGTAAATCCATGGCTAATTCATTTCAATGTATGACAAAAACCACTGCAATGTTGTAAAGTAATTAGCCTCCAACTAATAAAAATAAATGGAAAAAAAAAAAAGGAATGAGCAACTAAGTCACAAAGGACATGGAGGAATCCTAAACGCATATTTAATGAAAGACCCAATGTGGCAAGACTACATACTGCATGATTCCAAAAATATGATATTATGAAAAAAAGAAAACAGTAAATAAAAAGATCAGTGGTTGTCAGGGGTGGGAGAATGAAAACAATATGGCAGTTCCTCAAAACTCTAAAAATAGAATTACCACATGATCCAGCAATTTCAGTTCTGAGTATATACCCAAAACAACTGGAAGTAGGAATTTGAGATATTTATACAACCATGTTCACAGCATTATTCACAACACCCAAAATGTGGAAGCAAGTCCATCTGATGATGCACAGATAAACAAAGTGTGGTCTATCCCTACAATGTAATACTATTCAGCCTTAAAACCTTATTCACGCTCCATCATGGAGGAACCGTGAGGACATTATGTTAAGTGAAACAAGCCAGGCACAAAGATAAATACTTCATGATTCTATTTATATGAGAAACCTACAGTAGTTAAATTCATAAAGACAGAGAGTAGAATGGTAGCTGCCAAAGGCTAGAGCGGTGGAAACAGGCAGTTAATGCTTAGTGGGTATGGGATTTCAGGTTGGGTAGATAAAAGGGCCTATCGATGGAGAGTGGTGATGGCTACACAGAAATGTGAATGCACTTATTAGTACTGAATTATACACTTAATAGTTAAGAGGGTAAATTTTACATCTTGTGCATTTTACAATTATAGAAAATTGTGTGATGTAAATGAAGGCAATCATCATTATCATTTTATGGAACAGGAAATAAATTCCCAAGGTCACACTGCTCAACAGTGGTTATTTTTCTTAAAGTTCACCACTGTGAATTATAATAGGCTGTAATTAATTAATATCTGAGGAGAGGTCTGAGATAACGCCTCATTTATTTGGTATCATTAGGAAAAGAAGCTATACATAATCAGGCAGGCAGAAATCGTAGATGAAGTTTTTAGGTACCAAAACTTCTAAAACAGCTAGTACACAAAGCTTTCTAAAGTGCAGTACATACTTGTCTGACTTTTCACAATCCGTGGAATATGACTGAATACGTTCTTGGTGTTTCAGGGTCATTTTACAAATTGTAAAACAAGAAAACTAAACTCCATAATCCTCAAGGGCCCTTCTGGCAGTAAAATTTTATGATTATGATCATGATGTAGGGGCTGCAGTATACTCAGCTGACCCTGAACTGTCCTAGTTGTTCATCTCTTTCTTCACTGCTACTTCTCACTGCTGGCAGATGTTAACCATAGTTTTCCCTCATTCACCTGCCACTGATAACCTGCAAAGGCTGAAAATTAGGTAATCCTATCTTTGGGTTTTTAATTCCAAATGTCCTGAGTACAGCACAATGTTCAAAAAACATTTGTTGGCTTTGATGAATGGATTTTGTGGAATAACAACTTTATAGAATTGGAAGCATTTTCTACTTCTTTCTTAGTGTCAAATCTTAATTGTCACTTTTCAAAGCTTGTGTTGAATGACTAAACCACTCAGTTGGCAATTGTGCTCTAAATAACAGAATTTATTTCTATGCTGTCAAAATGCCACTAAACTGAGACTAGCAATTTAGGAAACAAGTAGATGTTTGGAAAATACTACTTAATTGTGTATCATGCTCTTTATTTTAACAAATACTTAAATAGCATGAAGCACTGTTCTAAATATTCAGTAAATATTAATCAATATTAACTTACTTAATCCTAATAACAACCCTATGAAGTATGTAGCAATATCATTTTTCAGATGAGAAAACCAAGGCAATGACAGGTTAAGCCATTTGCTCAAAGTCACATTATTTTTAAGATCTGTAAAGAGAAATAGCATTTCAAATATAAACTGACCTTCACTTAACACAAATTCAAGATCATGAGTGGCACTCACAGTGATTTTGTGACAATGGATGAAACTGCAGCTATTAAGCACACCTAGAGTCACAAGGTTGTATCTCTGGAATTTGTTTGGTGGGACGAAATAACTTTGAAGCAAAATAAGATGGTAAAAAGAAAAATACCTTCAAGATCAAGGAATCTTATTACCAGTTATACACACAAGTCATCTTACCTGCAGGATTAAGCTATCTTACTAGAAGAAAAGGAAACTGCAAGACTATCTCCAAAGTCACTTACAGCTCTAGCATTTATGGTTTTATGTTTATTCATCAGTTTAATTCAGTTCAGTTGCTCGGTTTTGTCCAACTCTTTGCGACCCCAAGGAATGCAGCACGCCAGACTGCCCTGACCATCACCAACTCCCACAGCTTGCTCAAACTCATGTCCATCAAGTCGGTGATGCCATCCAACCATGTGATCCTCTGTCGTCCCCTTCTTCTGCCTTCAATCTTTCCCAGCATCAGTCTTTTCCAATGAATCAGTTCTTTCCATCAGGTGGCCAAAGTACTGGAGCTTCAGCTTAAGCATCAGTCCCTCAAATGAATATTCAGGGTTGATAACCTTGAGGGTTAACTGGTTTGACCTCCTTGCAGTCCAAGGGACTCTCAAGAGTCTTCTCCAACACCACAGTTCTAAAGTATCAATTTTTGGCACTCAGCCTTCTTTATGGTCCA